GTATTCCTATTTTGACACAGTGGTAGGGCTTAAAAATGGTCAAATGAATAGGACTGCCAGGTCCATCTGCTCAAACCAAAAGCCCATTGGCTGGATCATTCTTAGATTTGCCTATAAACACTAAAAAAAAATTATAAATGTTCCTTTTGGATCATGTGGGACCAATAAATAGACCATAATCACAAACACCACTGCCAAACTAAATCTACCATCCCACCTGTTCTGTATCTAAAATCCTGTTTGATTAGTTAAAGCCCAACTCAAGCTTGGACACAGAATCAAAGAATGTGAGTCCTTGAAAGGAGTTTAAAATGGAAAAAAGCACCTCTGGCTGCTATACTTGCCTAATCTCTGGAGCTTTCTCTTGCAGAATCACCAAGTTTGGTATCCAGCACCACTCCACATCCAGGTTGAATGATGCCCAGCATCAATAATTAAGCCACTTCCTGTGAGCCTAGGGCATTAAGGCTTTTCCCCCTGCCTGGACTACTGTATATTGATTTTTTTTTAAGGCTCATTGGCTGCTCTAATGGATGTGAGGGGGCTAGAGGGGAAATTAATCCAGTTAGATTTTAAAGTTTACCCCTCATCAAAGTATATCTGAACTTTAATTCCTAATCCAAATATGTTGTTGCATGTGTGATATAGAAAAGTAACTTTTTCGTTTATATTCTTTCAGTAAATCATACCAGCAAGATGTACCCACAGGCACTTCTTTTCCTAAATCAACAATGCCTACTGGGTTCAACTGATGCATTGCACAGTGGCTAAATGGTTAGCACTTCCGCCTGGCAGTACTAGGGTCGTTGGTTTGAATCCCAACCACAGCCCCACCTGCCTGGATTTTGCAAGTTCTCCCTGTGCCTGCATGGGTTTTCTCCAGGTACTCCAGTTTCCTCCCACACTCCAAAGACATGCTGGTAGGTTAATTGGCTCCTGTCTAAATTGGCCCTAGTATGTGTATGTATGAATGTAATCTGGGGACCTTAGACTCTACACCCCTTGAAGGTTAGGGACTGATAGGAATGTACAATATATATGAAAAAGTGCTGCGTAAATTGACGGCGCTATATAAGTACCTGAAATAAATAAATAATTGTCATTCTTTTCTGAGCAGTCCTGTTTTGCTTACTGTTTTAACCACTTCAGTACAGGGCACTTTTACCCCCTTCCTGCTCAGACTAATTTTCAGCTTTCAGTGCTCTCACACTTTGAACAACAATTACTCAGTCATGGTACACTGTTCACCAACAAAACTTTTATAATTTTTTTTCACACAGATAGAGCTTTGTTTTTGTGGTATTTAATCACCAGTGGTTATTTATCTATTTTTTTGCTATATAAGTGGAAAAAGAGCACAAATTTTGAAAAAAAAAATTTTTTTTTGTTTTTAATATCTATTCAAATTGTAATTTTTCTTCATAAATGTAGGCAAAAAAATTTATACTGCTACATTTCTTTGGTAAAAATAACCCAGATCAGTGTATATTATTTAGTCTGTGTGAAAGTTATGGGGCGCAGCACAGTGGCTAAATGGTTAGCACCTGGCAGCACTAGGGTCGTTGGTTCGAATCCCAACCACAGCACCACCTACCTGGAGTTTGCATGTTCTCCCTGTGTCTGCATGGGTTTCCTCCATGTACTCCGGTTTCCTCCCACACTCCAAAGACATGCTGGTAGAATAATTGTATCCTGTCTAAATTGACCCTAGTATGTGTATGGATGAATGTGAGTTAGGGACCTTAGATTGTACACCCCTTGAGGGTTGTCAATTTATAAGATATTTCTAACACATAGCATGTACATACCAAATCTTACACCCCAAAATACATTCTGCTACTCATCCTGAGTATGACGACACCACGTATGTGAGACTTTTACACAGCCTGGCCACACACAGAGGACCAACGTCCCAGTAGTACCTTCAGATGTTATAGGGGCATAAATTACACATCTAATTTCCTAGCTACCTATAAAATTTTTTGAAAGACCTGGAGCACCAGGACAATGGAATTACCCACAAAATGACCCCATTTTGGAAAGCAAACACCCCAACATATATTCTGTGAGGCATAAAGAGTCTTTTGAAAATGTCACTTTTTTCCACAAGTTTTTGAAAAATGAGAAGATATTTCTAACACATAGCATGTACTTACCAAGAATTACACCCCAAAATACATTCTGCTACACCTCCTGAGTATGGCGATACCATATGCAGGAGACTTGTTCACAGCCTAGCTAAACAAGGGGTAAATAAAAGATTACCTGTGGTTTTAGTAGAGCAGTTGTCTGCAGAGGAGAACACTTGTCCAGGAAGCAAGCAGAGATGTGGTCAGCAACAGCCAAACGAATAGTCCACGCAGCAGGCAGGTCCAAAAAAAAGTCCTGGGCCATTACAGGCAGCAGGCAGAGATATGGTCAGCACAGTCACAGTATTGGTCTGGACAACAGGAAGGAACATCAGGCTTAGGGCCTTGGTCAGGTAAGACCTGGCCACAGGGGTAGAGGCTTTGCCCCACCCAATCTCTTTGAAGCCTCCGGACTAACAGACCCTGATCTGGGAATTGCAAAACCTGGTTAAACCAAAAACTCTGAAGCCCCTCACATATGTGAGACCCCTGTGCTATCTTGCATTCCACTACTACAGTAGCAGGGCAAAAGATCAGGTCAAGCTGCAGGCAAAAAATTTCAGCAAAAAAGCATCGTCGGTAAACAGGCCAGAGTCAGTTCAGGTGGAAGGCAGAAAAGTGGTTTAGAAACAATCCAGAAGGCAGGCAGAGGCATCATCAGTAAACAGGCCATGTTCAGTTAACATGGAAGGCAGAGGCATGGTCAATCAAGGCAGCAGGCAAATGATCAGCACAGAGATTTTAGAAACTGGGAAATGGCAGGCTGTTAAAAATAAGTGGAATTAATATTTTTAGTGACATGATAACGTCGGAAGCAGTCTCTGATGCATAGGACCAGTGGGAAGGGACAATGGGGACAATAAACACACGTGTCTCTCCTAGCTCCTCCTCTGCTGCATACCTGACATTTTTTTAGCATCTTCTTCCTGATTCTGTGGGTGGAATGTTTTCTGGAAAATGTTGCTTGTGAAGTCTGCTCACACATTCAGAGTGAATGTTTTCTGGGGGGGGGATCCTTGCTGGTAGATCAGGGCAGTGATGATTTCTTCAATATATTTGAGGAAGGTGGTGGGTCTTTCTGTTGACTTTTGATAGATGACAAACACATTTTAAATGTCCAAATGGAAAAAATAAATTGCAATTTTGTTTATACCAGCAGAGAGATTTTCTTGTTGATAAATAGGGCTGTAGCATCTGATCATTTAAATCCACCTTCCTCCCATGAACCGTTTATAATCGTAGATACATTCAGGTTTTTGGATGGAACTGCGTCTTCCGTGAATTTGGACATGGTGGACAGGATGTACACATCTCTGTTATCCCCCCAATTCATGGCCAACACTTTCTCGTTTCTGATACTTACTGATTCCCCCTTTGTAGCCTTGTGGTTACAAAACTTTGTGCGAAGCCCTTTCTGTTTTTTTGGGTTTTACCACAGGCCAAGGTTTTCTCACGGTACAAGTGCCCGAAAGGGGCAGACTTGTATAGCAGTCATCAAGGTAGATATGATAACCTTTTTGGAACAGTGAGAATGCCAGGTCCCAGACAAGTTTACCACTTGTGCTGATGTAGGTTGGGCCCTCAGGGGACTGGAGCTGGGAGTCTTTGCCTTCAGACATGTGGAAGGCATGCACATATCCCGTAGCTCTTTCACAGAGCTTTTTCAGCTTCAATCCATACCTGGCCCTTTTACTGAGAATGTAGTGCTTGAATCCTAGCCGGCCAGTGAAGTGGACAAGGGATTCATCCACAAAAATGTATTGCCCAGGGACATAAAGTTCCACAGATTTCTTAGCAAAAGAATTTGTTTGGATTTTGTATAGTTTGTCTTAGTTTGGATGATCTCAGGGAGGGCACTGTAAGTTATCATTGAAATGAAGGAATCGTATGATCAGATCATAGCGTGACCTGGACATTACAGCTGACTAAATGGGCATATGATGGATGGGGCTGGTGGACCAATAGGCATGTAATTTTTTTTTTTTTTAATCCCCATGTTAAACGTAAGGCCCAAAATCAATTTTAACTCCTCCACTGTGAGACTTCTCCATTGAAAAGGACAGGCATAGGATTTATTGGGATTGTTATCAATATATTGCTGGGCAAAAAGGTTAGTTGGGTCCACAATGTATTGAAGTAAATCGTCAGGGAAAAACAAATTTAAAAAATCAGTTTCAGAAAAACTATCAGTATTGGTCTGTACATCTGGCTGTGCGGTGAAAAGGGGTATTGAAGCTGATCCTGAGCTTGAAGGCAGTCATAATGGGTTTGCCAGGGTGTCAGGAAGATATGTTTGGGCCCTAATTCATGGGGTCTGGTGGTATATTCCAGTGCTGGTACTGGGCCTTTCATCCTGGGGTCTAGCACCATTGGTGTCTGCTGATGGATCATTGGGGTGTATGGCGCTGCTTGTGGTTGCCTGCTCTTCAGAGCATTGTATCCTTTTAGGAGGGACTGCTTCCTCCTCCAATTCGGTCACTGACGCACTACTTTCTACTAGCTCATATTCCAAATCGGAATTGGATGGTGAGAGCTCCCCACTGCTCTCATCTGTCATACTGAGAAGTTTATATGCCTCCTCGCTAGTAAAATTTTTTTTGGACATTGCAGCTCTGGTGATTGTGGTTGTATGACAGGTAAACTGCTGATGGGTGGCTCTGATGGGTACACTGCTGATGGGTTGCAGTGATGTTGACTCTGTGATGGCTGCACTGATGGCTATGGTGACAGGTACATTGATGGGCTGCATTAGTGAATGCACTGACAGGTACACTGATGGATGCACTGATGGGCTGCACTGACAGGTCCACTAATGGGCTGCACTGATGGCTACATTGATGGGCTGCACTGACGGATGCACTTATGGGCTGCACTGACGGATGCACTTATGGGCTGCACTGACAGATCCACTAATGGTTACACTGATAGGCTGCACTGACAGGTCTACTGATGGCTGCACTGCAAAATCCACTGATAGGCTGCACTGCCAGGTCCACTAATGGCTGCATTGACAGATTCACTGATGGGTCCACTAATGGCTGCACTGCCAGGTCCAGTGATGGCTGCACTGACAGATCCTCTGATGGGCTAATCTGACAGATCCACTGATGGCTCAGTCAGGTACTCTTTATTAGAGGCAATGTGGTGCACAGTAGTGAAGTGGTTAACTGTTAACTCGCTGTTCCCGGGTTCTCCTCTTCACATAGGATCGGGAGGCGCGCACATGCAGCACAATGTGAAGGACATTATATGACTCCCACTCAGAGGGACAAGCCGACCGCCCGGCCATCAATCTGCTATAAGCGCGGCGGAAACGTGTTAAAAAAGTAAACATTCTTTTGTGAGAATGTAATTCTTTTTTATTATACACATGAATCGGAAGGGCACAATGCCAATATTACTAAAGCACATGATTATTTTCAGTAAAACATACCCTTTTTTTTTTCTATGAACATTTGCTTCCTGGTGGTGTTAGGGTCTTAAAGCTAAAGAAAATATCACATGGTATCTGGCTAACATAGGTCTTTTTGGTATTTTATATCATTGAGCCTATTAACTGAAGTCAGATATACTTTGAATGGTAGTATAGCAGTGAGGCCAGAGGAATTAGGGAGGAAGAAACAGGAAAAATAGCCTGTATATGTAATGAGAAAAATTACCAACTTGTGCATAGATATTAGGGAAGATACAGGTGTCTTTGTTCAGAAGATTTTGTTTTATCTTAAAATGGAACTTCACTCTATCAACTTTGACTATTTTTAATCATCGTGCTGCTAGCATTCGTAAACGAATAGTAAAGTATACCATATTTACTTGTTTTAAACTTTTTTTCTTTTTTTTTTATATTTCTCAGTTACTTCCTGGTTTCAATGCCTAGGCAAATGATGTCACATATTCCAAGAGGGAGGGTTCTCAGTTCAGCCAATGCCTGAGCTAAGAGCAGATGGATTCCAGGAAGTAAATGCTCCATGAATCATCTTTCCTTATTCAAGATGACTACTGCCAGAAATGTCAGGGGGTGTTTTTCAAAAAGATTTTTCACAAAATAAAGCATGGAGACATGGATGGATGGGGGAGTTTGATTTGAATATTAATAATGAATTAAATAGCAATTTTGGTTTGTGGTGCTTAGATGCAGTGCTGTTCCACTTTAATGGTAAAGGAAGGTCATTGGGTGCTGGGGGTCTGGACATTCACCTAATCTAACCATACTATGAATATGATAAATAGCTGATTTTAAATTTGGTCTATAGGCAACAGGTGTCAAACTCCATCTTACCACGGGCCACATCAGCATTATGGTGCCCTTCAAAAGGCCTTTTGTATCTGTAAGACTATATAAATGTACAGTGGGGATCGAAAGTTTGGGCACCCCAGCTAAAAATTTGTATTAATGTGCATAAAGAAGCCAAGGAAAGATGGAAAAATCTCCAAAAGGCATCAAATTACAGATTAGACATTCTTATAATATGTCAACAAAAGTTAGATTTTATTTCCATCATTTACACTTTCAAAATAACCGAAAACAAAAAAATGGCGTCTGCAAATGTTTGGGCACCCTGCAGAGTTAATATCTTGTACTGCCCCCTTTGGCAAGTATCACAGCTTGTAAACGCTTTTTGTAGACAGCCAAGAGTCTTTCAATTCTTGTTTGAGGTATCTTTGCCCATTCTTCCTTACAAAAGTCTTCCAGTTCTTTGAGATTTCTGGGCTGTCTGTCACGCACTGCTCTTTTAAGGTCTATCCATAGATTTTCAATTATGTTGAGGTCAGGAGATTGTGAAGGCCATGGCAAAACCTTCAGTTTACGCCTCTTGATGTAATCCCCCGTGGATTTCGAGGTGTGTTTAGGATCATTATCCATTTGTAGAAGCCATCCTCTCTTTAACTTCAGCTTTTTCACAGATGGCGTCAAGTTACCATCCAAAATTTGCTGAAATTTTATTGAATCAATTTTTCCTTCTACTCGTGAGATGTTCCCTGTGCCACTGGCTGCAACACAACCCCAAAGCATGATTGATCCAACCCCATGCTTAACATTTGGACAGAGGTTCTTTTCAATAAATTCTGTGCCCCTTCTTCTCCAAACGTACCTTTGCTCATTCCAGCCAAAAAGTTCAATTTTAACCTCATCGGTCCACAGAACTTGTTTCCAAAATGCATCAGGCTTGTCTATATGTTCATTTGCAAAGTTCAAACTATGATTTTTGTGGTGAGGACGTAGAAGAGGTTTTCATGTGATGACTCTTCCATGAAGACCATATTTGTACAAGTATCTCTTTATAGTGGAATAGTGTACCACAACTCCAGTGTCTGCCAGATCTTTCTGGAGGGATCGTGCAGTCAAACGTGGGTTTTGAATTGTTTTTCTCACAATCCTGTGAGCTGTTCTGTCTGATATTTTTCTTGGTCTTCCAGATCTTGCTTTAACTTCCACTGTTCCTGATGACTGCCATTTCTTAATTACATTCCGAACAGAGGATATTGACATCTGAAAACGCTTTGCTATCTTCTTATAGCCTTCTCCAGCTTTGTGAGCGTCAACTATTTTCAGTTTCAGTTTTCTAGACAACTGCTTAGAAGAACCCATGGTGCTGATTGTTGGGGCAAGGTCAGATGAGTCTGGGCATTTAAAACCTTTGAGATTGACATCACCTGGTCTTCCCAGACGATGATTGAGAACAATCCATGACACTGGCAGGTCTCAGCTTGGCAAAGAGGGCAGTGCATGCTATAAATTCTGCAGGGTGCCCAAACTTTTGCAGATGCCATTTTTTTGTTTTCTGTTATTTTGAAAGTGTAAACGATGGAAATAAAATCTAACTTTTGTTGACATATTATAAGAATGTCTAATCTGTAATTTGATGCCTTTTGGAGATTTTTCCATCTTTCCTTGGCTTCTTTATGCACATGAATACAAATTTTTAGCTGGGGTCCCCAAACTTTCGATCCCCACTGTATGCACTCTTTATCATATCAAATAATTGCCTCTGCATTCTATTATTACTGGTCTTAGAAATAACTTAAGCTGTGAAGGGCAGGTCCAGACCGGTACTAAGCCCACTCACACCCCTGTATCAGATGATGCAAATCTGAAAAGGAGGGTATCAAAAGAAACTTTATTGGAGACTGCTCAGACCGAACATGGATTTGCCATAGTGTTCTGTCTAAACAGTCTCTAATAAAGTTTCTTGTGGATAACACCAGCAGTGTGCGACCTTCCTTTTCACCTGGCATAGAATTGTATTATTCTCATAATTTTAGGCAGATGTCCAATAAAGAATGCAAAAAAAAAAAAAAAAAAGAAGCTCTCCAGGGAATCCCACCCCCCCCACCAAGAGCCCCCACCATCAAAGTTGAGTCCCCCACCCTTGGTTACATCGCAGTGTGCCCCTCCTTACCTTGTGCTGCTGCCAGGAAGAAGATGGTTGCGGAGCTGGGAAGCAGAAAGTTCAGGGTCTGAAGGAGGACCAGAGGAGGGCGGGAGTCAGCGGCTGGAGTCTGCTGACTGCTGAGACCAGGGGAGGTGGAGACAAGGGTGTGCTGCGACTGCACACAGAGGTGCAGGATCTGTAGGAGGAGTTCTGTACTCCTCTCTGCTGCCAACTGCTGAGATGGAGGGGCAGAGACGAACTTCAAGACTGTACAGAGAAGTGCAGGATCTAGCAGAGGAGTTTTGTCCTCCTCTTTACTGCTGACTGCTAAGACGAAGAAGGTGCTGCAGATGCAGGAGAAGTGTGAGGGCTACTTGAAATGGCCTGGAGAGCCATATTCAGCCTGCGTGCCTTGTGTTTGAAACATGCGCTCTAGGCAGAGATAAAAAACAGACAAAAGTGATACACCATTAAATGTATTTTTTGTGTAACTGAGCATGACTTATTATTTTTGATAGTAAAGTATTAGCTAAACTTTTCTAGATTTTGTACATAATAAAGCAACCTGGAAAGTGAATATTCTGCTTAACCAGTTTTTTTTTTGTTTGTTTGTAACCTGTGTTTTGCCTTTGTAGTCCTTGTACAGCATAACTAAGTGGGAGAGGAAAAAGCAACAAATAGTCAATCAGATTTGGTGATGGCAGGAGCAGAAAGGAGACTGACAATGAGATGAGCTTATGACTATGGTGCTTCTCCTTAAAGTGTTACTAAACCCACAACAGTAAAATCAGTCTGTATATGCAGTAAAGCATGTGTGTTATACTCCCTGTGAAATCTAAGGGGTTAATCCGCTGCAGTGTGTGAAATGCTGTTTGATCCTGTTTTCTCTGCCTCGCCTCTTGTTCAAATGTCCCCCTGATAAGACAGACTGAACCCATAGTCACATGCAAATGCTCAGTTTGGTGTGTATTGCTAGAGAGTTTTTTTTTTTTCTTGGGAGAGTGCATGTGATCAGCACAGGGCCAATCAGAACTGTCCAGACAGAGGTCAGGGGTTTTGCATCCTACAAGAAAACCCCTCCTACAAGCTTTAACATGTGCTTTGCTGGACACTAATAGAAGTCACAAGACTGCTGTAACTGCTGATGAGAAAAGGTATTTAGCAGTTTATATTTACTAAAATAATTGCATTTCCATGTTCTGTGTACTGTGGGAGATTAGGTATAGTGAATGCAGGGTCCTGGGTCTAGCAACACTTTAACTGTTCAGAGACAGTGTGGGTGTGGTTACATGACAGCCTGGGCTCAGATTAAGAGGGTTGCTGGCTGTCCAAGCTATCTTGTGGAGGCAAAGACATACTGCAGGCAACAACTCTGTATAAAGGGTAAGAATTGCAGTAAAAGCTTGTTTTTTTTTACTTTTAACTTTTAATAAGTTAATACTGATTTTATGTTTTTTTTTTCTTTGCTTTAAGACTGAGATGAACTAAGAGAGTAGATGGACAGGTAGGAGGGAGGAAAAGATGTGGCTTTTGCAGTTTTATTCATTTGTTTTTGTTAATCTTTATTATGATACTGAAGTCTACAGCTATGTAATAAACTTGTAAAATCATTCATTTGAATTCATAACGTATAAAACATAAAACATTCACAGTCTTATGATGCAATATTACCAGCTGCCAGCTGGAAGCAGGCAGGGTACAGGCTGTCATTTTGTAATGGTTCAGGCCCCAATGTAGAGGTAATGCGTCTTTTGAATTAAATAGCTGTATTGCTGCTGGCAAGGTAAACACCTCTAGAAAAACAGCTAATTTCTTTGTAGTTTTGATAAACTGCTTTCTGAATTCCGTTTATGTCATTTACTTTTGCATAGTGGCAGTGTATTAAATTAGTAAATATGTAAAGGGGTGTTTTGTATAATAACGGTTTCTTTGATGTTCTGTGATGTATCAATTGACGCTGTCTTACATTATTTTTGTGGTACCCTATCCTTCCATGCCCCTTTGCTGCTCTGTTATGTTTGTGAGAATTGTCATCGTCCTTTGACAGGCCAAATTAGAAGTGAAAAATAAAGTAAGCCAGTTTATAAGCAGCCAGATATCACATTACTAATCTGACTATAGAAGAAGAAAAATATTATTTTTGTTTTTAAAGGTAATTCGGTTTAAAAGATACCAGACATCACATAGTTCTAAACTTAAACTGGCACTAAACTCAAGTTTATAAAATTAAAACCCCATTTAAGTATGTATTATGTACCCTTTTATGGCTCTCAACCTTCTTAATATCTCCAAATTCCTTTTTTTTGCTGCTGTGATCTGACTTCCCGTCAGAGGGTGGCTATGTTTGTTCTCCATGATCCCACTTTATGTAGGAAAGTAGCCACCCTCTCACACTCACTCCTGAGACAAACTGAGAGTAAGGATTATGGACTGTGGGATTTTCAGTGTGCATGAAGCAGTGCACATGACCGCAACTAGTGTACACTGCTTGTTTAAACAGAAGTGAGAGGGAAAAGAGGAGATTCGAGAGCTCACAGTAGGTGGTTTAAGACAACAGAAAAAATTGATTTCCTTAAATATGTATCACAGGGTCATTAACTAGTGGATTTGTATGAAATATGTTTGAGAAAATTAAGATATTGTTTACTACCACTTTAACAAGGATCAATGTATTGATCAAAATATGGAACTATAAACATATTCTCACTCACACACCCTCACATCTAACACTCTTTCCCTACATATTGTGGCAGTGCCATGTCCTACCAGGGTGATGTTAACCCAGAATTCTCAACTAGGCAGGTTGAGGAGCTCAAGGGGGTTTGCTTGATTAGGAGGAAACTGGCATTTCAGTTTCCTCATTGCTTAGAAAGTCCATTGTTGGGGACCTGGAGCCTGGATATTTCAAAGCGATCCAGGTGGGACAAAATCTCCAGTCCTGGGTCCAGGTATTTGGTATTAGTTGTGACCTGACCAAGGTTCTGGGTTTCACCCTCCCGAGAAGTCCACATGTGCAAGCCAGAGGGGTGCATGTCTGTGCTGGAAAAGACAGAGATCCAAGCTTGAGGGCCAGGCAGCAGGGGGTTTTTATCTACAGTTCCTCATACCCCTTGAAATTTTCCACATTTTTCATGTTACAACCAAAAACGTAAATGTATTTTATTGGGATTTTATGTGATAGACCAACACAAAGTGGCACATAATTGTGAAGTGGAAGGAAAATGATAAATGGTTTTCACAATTTTTTACAAATAAATATGTGAAAAGTGTGGCGTGCATTTGTATTCCGCCCTCCTGAGTCAATACTTTGTAGAACCACTTTTCACTGCAATTACATCTCCAAGTCTTTTTGGGGATGTCTCTACCAGCTTTGCACATATAGAGAGTTAAATGTTTGCCCATTCTTTGAAAAACAGCTCAAGCTCTGTCAGATTGGATGGAGAGCATCTGTGAACAGTAATTTTCAACTCTTGCAACAGATTCTCGGTTGGATTTAGATCTGGAATTTAACTGGGCCATTCTAAAACCTGCATATTGTTTTATCTAAACCAGTGGTCTCCAAAATGCAGCCTGGGGGCTGAATGTGGCCCTTTGTATACCTTTATCCGGCCCTTTGGGTACTGTTCCTCACACTGATATGAGGCACTCTTCCTCAAACTCTCACCAACAATGGGGTACTAATATTTTCCCTAATACCAAAGATGGGACATTGTTTACTGCTTATCTCCCACTGATACCAACAATGAGGCACTATGCCTCCCTCTGATACCAACCATGCAGCACTATTCCTCTCACTGACATCAATGATGCGGTACTAATATTTCCCCTAATACCAAAGATGGGACATTGTTAACTCCTACTGATGCCAGGATATTTTTACTCCCTTTGGCCATGTGCTGACCCCCTAAACCACTAGCTTCCCTTTACCTGCTAAAGAAAAGCATCCCCACAACATGATGCTCCCACCACCATGTTTCACTGTGGTATGTTCAGGGTGATGTGCAGTGTTAGTTTTCCGCCACACATAGCGTTTTGCTTTTAGGCCAAAAAGTTCAATTTTGGTCTCATCTGACCAGAGCACCTTCTTCCACATGTTAGCTGTGCCCCCCACATGGCTTCTTGCAAACTGCAACCGGAACTTCTAATGGCTTTCTTTCAACAATGGCTTTATTCTTGCCACTCTTCCATAAAGGCCAGATTTGTGGAGTGCACAACTAATACTTGTCCTGTGGCAATATTCTCCCACCTGAGCTGTGGATCTCTGCCGCTCCTCCAGAGTTACCATGGGCCTCTTAGCTGCTTTCTGATTAATGCTGTCCTTACCCGGCCTGTCAATTTATCTGGGTGGCCATGTCTAGGTAGGTTTGCAGTTGTGCCATACTCTTTCCATTTTCAAATGATGAATTGAGCAGTGCTCTGTGAGATGTTCAAAGCTTGGGATTTTTTTATAACCTAACCCTAATGTAAACTTCTCCAAAACTTGATCCCTGATCTGTTTGGTTTGTTCCTTGGCCTTCATGATGCTGTTTGTTTACTAATGTTCTTTAACCTTTTCACACACAAATGTGCGGCCTCTCGGCATCTGGGCCTAGACGCTGAGCGACCGCACATTTGCGTTGTATTAAAAAAGGACATATGTGCCGAGAGCGAGCACCCTGCGCACTCCCAGCACACATGTCCGGTACTCACGGAAAGGTCCTGACCTCCTCTTTCGATTGGGACCTTTCACGATCATGTGACGGCGCGTCGCGGTGGTCACATGACCCTAAACCCCGCCCCGCCTCCCGGCTTCTGGAACCCTTAAAGGGCCGGGAGGCGCCGGCGTGAAGGGGTTAACAAACCTCTGAGGGCTTCACAGAACAAGCTGTATTTATGCTGAGATTACACACATGTGGACTCTATTTACTAATTAGGTGATTTCTGAAGACAATTGGTTCCACTAGATTTTAGTTAGGGGTAGTAGAGTAAAGGGGGCTGAATACAAATGCACGCCACACTTTTCAGAAATTTATTTGTAAAAAATGTTGAAAACCATTTATAATTTTCCTTCCACTTCACAATTATGTGCCACTTTGTGTTGGTCTATCACATAAAATCCCAATAAAAATAATAAAATTTCAAGGGGTATGAATACTTTTTCAAGGCTATTCCTTTACTAAAGTGAGCCAGGAGACTGGATATTTCATGTTTTTTTGTGCTAATGGTGAAGACCCCCTGTGTGGGAAACCATGGATTATGGAGCTTTGTGTGAACCTTTCTTTAAATAACGTGGGCCAACAAGAATTACAATGGAAATTTTGGTGTGGACTGTACTCGCTAGCAAGTGCTACACTTGAGCTATACAACCCCAAATGTCACAGTAGACATATGTGGAAAATGGCTGTGTAACTTGCACAAAATAGTTCAATCAGGCGTGGGATATGGTAAGGTAATTATTAGTTTGTTTAACCACCTCCCACCCGCCATATAGTCCAATGACAGACGCAAGGTGGTTCTCTCGTTCTGAGAGGACGTCATATAACTTCCTCCCATTCTCACCGCGCATGCGCGGCTCAGGCAGTGCACAGCGCGGCGATCGGTGGTGCGCTGTGTCCCTCGGACACAGCGGATCACTGATCATGGAAAGAGCCGAAGATGTCGGCTCGGTCATGTGATCAGCTGTGTCCAATCACAGCTGATCACATGTAAACACAGGGCACTGATGATCAGTGTGCCCTGATGATCAGTGTAGCCCCAGCAGTGCCACCTGTCAAAGTCCATCAGTGCCAGCTGTCAGTGCCGATCAGTGCCACATGCCAGTACCTATCAGTGCCACATCAATGCCACATATCAGTGCATACCAGTGCACATCAATGCCACATATCAGTGCCCATCTGAGCTGCCTTTTAGTGTCACCCATCAGTCATGCCACCTATCAATGCAAATAAGTGCCACTCTTCAGTGCTGCCAATCAGTGCCAGTCAGTGCCGCCTAACAGTGTAAGTCAGTGCCGCCTAACAGTGCCAGTCATTGCCGCCTAACAGTGCCATATATCAGTGCTGCCTTTCATTGCCCATCAGTGATGCCTGTCAATGCCCATCAGTGCCACCTGCCAGTGCCTCCTCATCCGTGCCCATCAGTGCCACCTATCAGTGTCCATCAGTGCAGCCTATCAGTGCCCATCACTGCAGCCTCATTAGCGCACATCAGTGAAGGAGAAAAATCACTTATTTACAAATTTTTATAACAAAAACTAAGAAAAAAACTTTTTTTTTTTTTTTCAAAATTTTCAGTGGTTTTTGGTTTAAGAAAAAATAAAAAACCCAGAGGTGATTAAATACCACCAAAATAAAGCTCTGTCACGAAAAAATGATACAAATTTCATATGGGTACAGTGTTGCATGACCGTGCACAATTGTCATTCAAAGTGCAACAGCGCTGAAAGCTGGAAATTGGCCTGGGCAGGAAGGGGGTATAAGTGCCTAGTAGGCTAGTGGTTAAAGTTGATCCAGGCAGTCCATAACTCACCAAAAATGTTATGTATTTTTTAACTCCTGGGTAATCTCCTGCATAAGACGTATTAAGTAAACTTTCAGGAACTATTTTTTATGTAGGGTATTTCCAGAAAATTGAGATATTTACATTTTGTAAAAATGGGGCAATGATTTACTTGTATTGTCTTGCAGAAAGACTTGTACAATTAAATAAGTAACATCACGCATCTAGAGGCCAGTATTGTGCTGTTTTTTCCAGAAGGCTTGTAGAGTTGAGCAGAACCACCAAATGTGGGCAAACATGCCCATTGGTCTCACATCCACTCCAGCATAAAGATGAAGCATAAGGGTAAAATACTTAAATCTTCAGTGGTGTTTGGTGCCAGTAGGAAAAACGTTTATTGTTGATTTCATAAATATACTTCTGTCTGCTGATGTGAATTAGTTGTAACAGTTGTAACATTTTTGTTTTTTATTCATCTGATACGTGTTGTCCTTTTTCTTTTTTTAGAATTTGTATAGCTGTGAGGCACATTGAAGCTGATTAACTAAAGGATGTGAAAACGTTTCGACAACTACAATGTAGATGTGTGAAGATTCACTACAGTGATCCAATCATGTAAAAAGAATCTTACTTCATCTGCACTTGTTTGGATAATTAATGTGACTCGTCACATATTATATGTGTGAACATTCTTAAATCCTTTGGTAAATTGGACTTCTTGGGTTGGAATTGTAGTTCCGGAAAGTAAGGTTTACATTAGGTCTTTTCCATGTGGGGCCAAGGAAGGAATCCATAGTTTTCTTTTACCTTGTCCCAGCAGTCAATCAAAGTCACGATGTAGCAAATGAAGGTGAGTAAATGATTCTTGGGACCTACATGGAAGAAAAATATATTTGAAATATATTTTTAACCCCTTGGCGCCGGCGCCTCCCGGCCCTTTAAGGGTTTTCAGAAGCCAGGAGGCAGAGCGGGGGTTTAGGGTCATGTGACTGCCGCAACACGCCGCCTGATCGAAAGAGGAGATCGGGACCTTTCCGTGAGTACCGGGCATGTGTGCTGGGAGCGCGCAGGGAACGTACTTTCAGCATGTATTTTTTTTAATGGAACGCAAATGTGCGGCCGCTCGGCGTCTAGGCCCAGATGCCGGAAGGCCGCACATTTGCTTTCGGCCAGCGCCAAGAGGTTAAAAATATATATTTTTTAAATATATTCTTCAGATTTTTTTTAACATATAAAAAGGTCATTTTAACATGTATTTTTACATATATTTGGAAATGCATTCCAAAAATGTAAATTTGTATTTTTAAAGACATACAGTATATTTGAAATGTATGTTTAAAAATGGTTTTCATATATTTTGTAATAAAAATGCATTTCAACATGCAGTATATAATATATATATATATATATATATATATATATATTATTAATGACATATATTTTGAAATATATTGAATATGGCCAAAATTGTAGCATTTCAAATATATGGCAATATATTTGGGAAGAATATTTTTAAAATATATTTAAAATATATTTTCTTCCATATGGAGAAGAAGGGCGCTAACATTTTATTCTGCCCTGGGTGGGTAAAGAAAAGGGTCTTTTTAAGATGTAATATTGTTGATAACAGTATGTTACTGCCAATAACCCTTATTTGTTTGCGCTGGTATTATAAATACAGAGCAGGTGACCATGTATCACACTGCAGGAGGGATTTGCTGAAAGATGAAAATATGAAAATATATGGGAGTTCAGTTAGGTACTTTATGTCAGAAGAAAGTATTATGATAACAGATGGATAAAGTAATCAAAGCATCAGATCATCCACACTGGGAAATAATCATTTGGCTGTGGGCAGTCTGCGACCTCTGCATACACCCCCTAATCAACCAATCTTGGAAGAAGAATTGATTTGCAAAGACTGTTTTCGCAGCCTGTTGTTGTTCATTTTTGCCAAGAAAAGTGATTTTCTTCTGCACCATTAATAAATGGCAAAGTAATTTCACATTAAGATCATGTTTGTTTGTAGGATATTTCTAATAATGTACAGAAATTACATCTCTGCAGTTTTGCTAAATGTACTAAAACTAATTTGGAAAACACTCACGTCGTATCTCAGAGGACTCCACTTGTCTTGTTCTGACGGCTTGTGCTTTAAACTGCTCCTGTAATTAGGATACTCGTGCCTTTTCTTTTCAGTCAAGCTACACTTTGTAAATGGTAGACTGAACTGACATAAAATAATATGTCTTCTCTCTCCCTGCACAGGTTGCAGCTCATAGCGGATCGTCTTATGCAGAGATTTCTGGGCTCGGGGCTGATGTTAAAAGAATGGGACAGGGTAAAACTTCATGCAACAGTTATGAATACACTGTTCCGGAGAGACCCCCTAGGCAAGTGCATATGTCTTACAAGTATTGATATCAAGAAGAGAATCTGTGTATTGCCCATATGATCAACAACCCCTGTCGGCCTGATTTGGGTATTGTGTGCTGTAATACAGTTTAAACTAGAGTGCATTCAGGGGGAACTAGAGATCAAATAAAAGTGTACAGTTTTATCTAGAAATATTATTTTTACATTTGAATAAAGAATCATTAAAATAATGTATGTGACACATCAGTGTATCATATCTGTGGCTTTAATGATTGATTGAGTGACAGATATGCTGGGTGGCCCTTTAATAATAATTTTATATTTCCAGCCATTCAATAGGTCCACTAAAATGTTTGAATGATTGTCCATTTTCTTTTTACCTCCTGTATTAAGAAGATGCAGAAGGGTAAGGTTCCACGGCTGGGGAAAATGGGGAGTCAATAGCTTTCAATGCAAAGTTTTGGACACAGAAAATGTGGCTCTGAGATTTTTTTTGGAACTGTTTAGAAATTTTTATCAGTGTGACACTACAGCCGGGGCTGGCAACTCGTCGATCGCGATCTACCTGTCGATCGCTGGAAGCCGACAGGTAGATCACGATCAGGGCAGTGCTGATGCTTCCCCCCAGCCTCTGCCGCTCTCCTTTTCCAGTGTGAGTGAGAGGCAAAACAATAATGGATGGAGGGCAGGAGCACGGCAGCTGCTTTAGTTAACTTTGCAAGTTAACCAGCAGGTGAATGGGTTGATAGGCAGTCCTAGCTACCAATCATCAGTTTATTAATATGAAAAGTTAACTCTGGTAGCTCCCGCTCCCATCCTCCATCCAGCACTGTGCTGCCTCTCATTCTGCTCTGATTGATGGTCAGCCACTGTAAGGTAGGAGAGAGCTACCTTTACATGGCTGTGTGTCATGAACACTTTTGGGGGGGAGTCAGAAGAAACATCTCTAGTGGGCAGAGGACACCACTGTGGGGGGTGAGGAATGCAGAGGACAGTGCCATGCAGGGGGTTCCAGAGGACACTACTGTGTGTGTTGGGGGGGAGGGGGTTGCAGAGGACACTGCCATGAGGGGGACGACAGAGGACACTACTGTTGGGGGGGATTGCAGAGGGCACTACGGGGGGGGCAGAGGACAATACTGTGGGGGGGGGAGGTGCAGGGGACAGTGCTATGGGTGGCAAAAGGCACTACAGAGGGAAGACAGAGAACACTACTGTTGTGTATGGGGGGGCGATGCAGTTGACACTGCTATAATGGGGCAGAGGGCACTACGGGGGGGGGAGGTTGGGTGAACACAGGACTCTAGTGTGAATGTGTGTTTGTGTGGGGGCAGAGGACACTACCGTCTGTGTTTCTGTGGAGGGGTTTCAGGACACTACTGTGTGATGGAGGCAAAAGGTGCAGAGAACACTACATTGGGTTGATGATATATTACTGTGGGGAGGAGGATAATATGAAAGGGTCAGAGGACACTGCTGTGGTGGGGGGGAGGGGCAGACGATACCACTGGGGGGGGGGTGATTTTAAGCCGGGCAGAAGACAATACTGTGACGCACTATGTGTTTTTATTGGGGGCTTATGATGATGCACATTACTGTTGCATTGTTGCTGTGTTGATGCACCATTTCAGAGGTTTTTCAGTTGTGTGAAGAACCAATCATAATACAGATTGGGAAAATGATTGCATACACCTATATCTGATCAGTTGTATTTGCAATCAATATTTTAGGTCAATCCCAAATTAATATGTGTATGTCCAGCTTTAGAGGTTAATGTTAAGTATAAGGCTGACGTTAATAAAGGTTGAATGTAAAGATTTGGGGGTCTAGACTTAATTTTAAGGATTAGATTTAGGAGTAAAGATTTTTGTGAAACATGTTGTTAGTTTAAAGCTCATGTAAGGTCAACACATACATTTAGACAGTCACTTGTAGTACTAGAACAAGGCTAATGTGTATATAATATTAACACACACACACACACACTTTTTTTCCTGCTGGAAAAGGGTTGAAAGACAGTCTGCATATCAGTTATGCTTCACTTTTGCTGATTTAACCAGATTTTTCTTAAAAACAATACACTTCAATTGCAGCCTAAGCCTACCAATCCTATTGCTACTACCTCTTTCCACAGAAAGGAGTTGTTTTTGTTCCACCAAGGCAACCCAGGAAACCATCCTTTAGTTGCATGCCTTTGACTAAAAACACTTCAGACTTGCCCAGAAGACCTCTTCAAGGGGAAGGGATGCCCTCTGTGT